AAAATCGATTAAAATCCCGTTTTTTCTTGATTTATTTTTACATGGGTAAGGATCTATTAGTGAATGTTTTTCCGAGATGTACAATTAATAATGATAAATAATTATCAAGAAAAAACATTATTATTTTTATTAATGCATCATTAAATGAACGACATGAACCAATAATTATTTCATTTGTTAATAAATCTACTTGCCAATCATTAAATTGACATTGATTAGAATCCCCATGTCATGAAAATCGTCGCGATTTTGCCGATTTTTTAGAAATCGGTGAATAAATCACGATTTTTCTGCTGTGTATCGATGGCAACAAGCCGCAAAAATCGGCGATTTAGCATGAGATTAATCGCGACGATTTTCATGACATGGGTCAGATCGGCTATTTTCAATTGTTTTTAATAGTTGTTTTTTAATTAATGAACATTATGATAGATCATCATTGTCATTTTTAACAATTTGTAAAGTTAATTGTTTAATGATTGATTCACGACGTTTATTAATTTTATCTTCAAATTGTTTATTTATCGCATGATAACGAAATTTAATAAAATATCGATTAATGAAATCATCCAATGTAGCTTTTTAATTTAGAAAATCTAAATAAATGATAAGATCTCGATATAAAGAATTCATAAGAATATTTAGAGGAATTATTTTATGTTCTTGAAAATCTTCAATCATTATAGTTGACCATCCATTGAAGAAAACATCATTAGTTATTGGGGTGTAGGTGTGGGTGTGAATGAAAGAAAGATTAATATCGATACTCGCACCACTTTACACCCAACTACGCCCACACACCCGAATGAGCTCAATACCCCATAAATAAATTATGCATTTTTATAGTTGAAGAACTTTAGTGGATTCGGTGTATTATCCTAAGTGTAATGACATACTTTGTCGCAATTGATGACTATGTTCGAGAAGTTGAGGGACTAGAGTGTATTTGGTGTAGCAATCTCATTCCACTTGGGATAATACACCAAAACACTGAATTTTTATAAGATGTATTTATCTATTTCAATGAGTTACGTCATTACACTGAGCGGAATACAGCGTACCAAGTAAAATTCCTTAAGGCCCCCCCCCCCCTCAAAAATCGATCTTAGTCCAGGTACGTTCAAATGGGCTGAAATTCGGAGCATATGTTGGGGCTGAAGTGGGGAGGCTGTGGTAAAATTTTCAGCTCGATACCCTGATGTTTGACAGAGATATGAACCAAACAAGGGTCAAAAATAGCTCATTTTCTGTCCAAGATTTCTCGGTCCGGGCTCTGTCAATATATTTAAATTTTTTTTTGTTTGAAAGAGCATCTCAGGATGCAGGGCACCACAGAGTCCTTTTTTTTTAAGTCTTACTTTTTTCGCGGAGAAAGGGGCTCGCAAGTTCAATGACTCAAAAAAGGCGCCAAAAATGGGTGTCCAGTCACATAAGTGTCTGTATATATAATAAAAAACAAAGCTTAATTAAAAAAAGAACTCTGTAGTGCCCTGCATCTCGACGCGCTCTTTCAAACAAAAAAAAAATTTAAATATATTGACAGAGCCTGAACCGAGAAATCTTGGACAAAAGATCAAAAAAACCATAAACCGAGAAAAACCGAAAAACATTTTTTGATTTTTCAAAAAACAGCTGGTTTTTCGAATAGGGGTTGACGGAAATCTTGAAAATTTTTGGGGAAAAATGAAGTAACGAGAAAAACAAATTATCGTTTATGAAAGAGCAGATGACGGGCTATCTTCCCATGCATTTATCTCAATTTCGAAATTTTTGACGAAAATTGACTTTTTTTGAGGGGGGGGGGGGCTTAAGT